TCGCCCCACCGAACAGGGGTGTTTTTGGCAGGGCTGATCGGCAACGGAGCCAAGCCACCAGCTGCTTCTGGTCTACAGTCTCCATATCATATCCTCCTTCATCCAACTTCTACCCAACCACTACGCAGAGGTCCTCATACTACACAGGCTCAGACAGAGCCATAGGAACTAGACGCAAAGGTCATGGACGTTTCTCTACAGGTGATTCACATTTCTGGCCTACCTGTTTCTAACTGTGCTGCTGGCAACCTGTCTTTTTTCTTCAGAACTGGAGAGAGCAATCTCGGGAGACACATGGATTTTACATACGGTACAGGGTTACATCATTGCGTTCTACTCACAAGTGATCCAAACCTCTCCTTCACCTCCATACACATGTCATGGGAGCACAACCTTATTGTGGACAAAGAGATCCGTTCACTGTTCGACAAAGGCGCATTGCAATACAGAGACAGGGATGGTTTCTTCAGCAACATATTTATAGGCAAGAAGAAAACAGGGGACTTCCTACCGGTTATGATTCTCCAGAACTTCACCAAATATGTAGTTTACAGACATTTCAAGATGGAAGGGACACATCTTCTTCATAACCTCCTCCTCGAAAATGACTGGTTTACCTGACTGGATCTGAAAGACGCGTACCTGTTGTTGCCGGTCGCTTGGGAATGTGGATGCTTTCTCCGTTTCCTGTGGAGAGGACGAGCATGCTAGTTCACTTTAAATACAGTACAAAACATATGAATGTAGCGCTTATTAAAAAGAAATAGTAAATCACCTTTTGAAGCGATTTAAATGTAGATAATGTGGATGTCTCGCTTAGGTATCTGTAAAAGACAATCTAACATAGTATAGCTCATACAATAAAAAATAGAAGGCAAGTTTAAACTCACAAACGTGGAGCTATGGGCCCAGCTCCAGGTTAAAATGACTTTGTATCCGTTTAGGCGATCCACCCCTATAAGTGATATTGTTCCTTTTAATCCTAAAAAACACAACAGGGGGACCACCAATGACGCAGTATCGTCTGCATATAATTTTAAGAATATAAAATTCCAAAATTAATACTCACAATGTTGGAGTCATAAATATATGACTCAATGTAACCCACACTGTGCAGATTAAGGACTGCACTCCTTCTTAATAGAGAAGTGAAAACTGGAACCAAATGGTATAAAAATAAAAGAAATCATTTATTACATATACATACAAAATATCAAAATGCCTATATCAGCTGTAAAAGACCGGTACGCGTTTCGCCAAATTGAATTGGCTTCCTCAGCCGGTTAAAAATGGTAAGTTTCCACAAAGTCTCCTCGTCGGTTTTAAATCCTCTCAAAACGGCGGGTAAATGCTCGGTTCCAATTCCCGTCACACGCTAGTGCTGCCCACTAGCACAGCGTGTGCGGTCCATGCCTCCTTTTCGTTACGGTACTCACAGGTACCGAGATGTTGTTCTCCTGCTTGCTTTCTCTCTGATGTATGGGAGTGTCTTCTCCCCCTTTTAGTTTCATCGTTTCCAAGTTCACTTTATAAGGTTTTTTATCTCCTTAATTCAGCGATAATCCGTATAATGGAAATCGGCAGAAAAAAAGAAAGAAAAGCGCAGTATCAGTCCATAAAAGAAAAATACCTTATTCCAAATCACGTTGTGTTTTTATCACTGTATATCATTAGGGAGATTCGCTTCCAATAATCTTGGATAATGTGGCAGGACCACCAGATATGTGCTGTCGTTCCCTTCCCCTGGGAACACCTCCAGCATACATCAGTTGCTGTTGGGAATAGGGTGTGTAACCTGTCAGGTGCGTAATGCCATCGAGAGATTATTTTATAATTTGATTCCATTATATTACTGCTAATGGTGGTGTGCTGTACTTGCGTATAGATAGCATTCCAATCAGTTGCTGTCACCATGATTTGAAGATCCGTGGCCCAGGATGTCGTGAATGCTGGCAGTGAGGTCGTGTGTGCTATATGTAGGATTTTGTAGAATGTAGAGAGATGTTTGACCTTTACACCGCGGTTTTGGCAGTGGGATTCAAAAGTGGTGGGGGAGCATCCCCCTGCTGATAGGGTTGGTTTTGAATGAACAAACTGCGATATTTGAGTGTAAAAGAAGGATTCCAGGGGTGTCGGGATTCTGTTGTGTACTTCCCTCCCTTTTTTCTGTGTGGGATGTATCAGGATTTTCTGTCTTCTGTACTATGATAATTTTATAGAGGGGTCAATACGCTATGGTAATTAGATAATATGTACTCGGATATATGTTGTTACAATGTCAATAATGGTTGGAATAATGCAATTGTTCAATATATGTGGACAATAGGCCATTTCAGATGCCGTTCACTTTTTTCTTTTCTTTCACTGTAATTGGTTCTCTTCTGGAGTCAAGTATACCTTTTCAGTCTTCTTCAAGCATATCCCCTTCTGGATATACGGAATTCTGCATTGACTTTGACATACGTTTGTTTTCATCGTTTATATAGCTTGTTACCTGTTTATTGTCGCTACAAAGAAAGAGGAAGGGCGTGGTCTCACACTGCCTTTTGTGTTACATCCTCCTTATTTCTGATTGGTTGGTTATGTTTCTGTGCTGCTGGAGATTTTCAGTAAAGAGAATTATGCAAATATTCGCCTCCAGTCATTATTCAAATTAAGATTATGGGTACACTACGTTAGCATAATCTACAATTATCTGTCATTGGCTTTAAATTAAGGGGTAAGACCAACTCAAATTTTGGTGGGTGGACGAAGGCGCAATGATAACCATCTGTCGGTCAGGTTGGATTGTAATTGTTTAAGTTTGGTTTTAAAGTTATGTTAATATTTATTTATTCAATTTTGATTAGGTTTTTATTGAAATATTATGTACAATGGCTCCCAAACCCTTTAAATAAAAGCTACAGCAATTATATCCATTCACAGTCTCTTTGTGTTTTATTGTGCATGTCTAATAAGTTATTGTCCATGCAATGGGCATGAGTGGCCTTGATTTCCTATAAACCCATCCTTACTGTGACGAACTGAGCCTCGTCACGTGTGCTTGGAGGGGCCTGCTGGCCAGCCTCTTACCAAAAGAATATGGGCCCTTTAAAAACAAAATGTGAACAGACTTGGTTTATGGGATTTTATATTTGGTTCGGGAACCGAACAGCCGCACGAACCGGAGACCACCCTTGAGCTTGTTAAGCCTAATTACTACTTTGTAGCAATTTCCACCGCAGTGTTCTAAGTGTTCGTCTGGGTGGCCGCAATTCCTATGGACGACCACGAGGTGGCGGCCATGTTGTTCGCATGTAATCAGGCAGCGGTATTTGGGCTAATGAGAAAACATTGGCCTGATCAGCAAGTGGCGACTGTGATTGCCTGAGAGTGCCATTGCAGGTGTGAATCAGAATGGCTACAGACTGTAAATCCCTGCCTTAGCCTTTAGTAAGTGTGACGGACTGCCTGGCACCCTGACCAGGTACCTCCGTCAATCCCTGCTTCCTAGTAATCCTTGAGTACCATAAGCACTGCACTTGAACATCATAACCACTGATCAGGCCAATGTTTTCTCATTAGCCCAAGTAACACAGAGGGGATGGGCTGCTGGAGACTCTTGTTTAGCAATAAAACATTTTAAAATGATTTAATGCTGAATGGAAGGGCAGGGCCAGGGGACTCATATTTTATAACCACTTCAATAAGATGAAGTCGCTATGTGTGCCAACATTCAGGGTCAGAGGCACACAGAGGGATGAGTGGGTTAAAGAGGCAAACAGAGGATTGGGGGGAGAGGCACACAGAGGACTGAGTGTGGTTAAGAGACACACAGAGGGCTGGGGGGGTGGAGAGGCACACAGAGGGCCAGTGGTGTACACACATCCCATGGGGCCCCGGTGCGAAACTGATCCATGGCCCCCCTCTTTCCCTCCCTCCCTCATGCCCCCCTCACTCTTCCTCCCCTCTTCCCCGACAGATACTCACACACATACATACATACAGAGACACATACATACTGAGACACATACATACATATACACAGATACACAGACAGACAGACACATACGTAGAGAGAGGCACACGGAGGGCTGAGATGGGGTGAAGCACACAGTGGGCTTAGAGGGGTAAAGAAGAGCACCGAAGGGCTAGGTGGACAAAGAGACACACAGGGGCTGGTGGAGACAGTGAAATGCCTGGGAAGAGAGATACACAGAGGGGCTGAGGAAGGGGAAAAAGAGACACAAAAGAGTTGGGGTAGAAAGAGACACACAAAGTTGGCATTTTTGTTTGGGGGAGGTGGGGTGCAAGTTGCTAGCAAAATAGCATTGCACCGGCCTTGCCAACAGTGTCCCTTCTAAGATCAGTTTGTGTGAGCCAAAGAATCTTGGGACCCACAATATAGTAACAATGTCTGTTGGTATTCCATTTGTGCTTGGCATATATACATGGGCAGGTGTGGTGCCATTTCCCTGGAACTTGCTAAATTAGTTGGTGTCCTATCTGTTTCTCATGTGAACAGTCCATTCATGTTTATAGACTGCACTCAAGTTTTTTTTTTGAAGGCCAATCTATGGGAAATGTCAGTAGGTTGCTGAAAACAATGAGCAAAAACAACAATAAATATATACAAAATGAGACACATTTTCTACCCTAGTCTCCTTTTCCATAACAACATTTGCTTGTTGTTTTTTTACTAAAATACTGCACTTAATCCAGAACTGTTGATTTGTTTAAGATTGGGTGTCTATTTCTCAGAAAACATGTAGAGAACAAAATCTGCTTCTTCCTGTCCCCCCCCCAAAAAAAAAAAAAAATCTCCAAATCTAATAGCATAGTTTAGTTTGTTTCAATGCCAATTGTCTATATTCCAATAAAATCCATTCACTACTGGCCCTAGGATGACCTCTTTAGAGCAATAGGGGGTGCAGAAAGCAGCTCATCCCCCTCTATATCTATAAGCCCCCGGAGACCAGCAGCTGACCATACGTGGTGATGGGGGCACACTGTGTGTCTATGTGAGTTCAGCCTTAGCCAGATTCAGAAGATATGTCTAAACCTCACGTTTCCAATCACATTACGTGAACAAATAACAGAGGGGGCAGACAGCCAGAAAATCTTGTATAACTTTTTAAAATGTGCCAGAAACTTTAAAAACTCCCATCCCTCCTCCTCTTTCCCCACTCCAAGCACCAGCAAAAATTTACCAAGTTGAGAAGCATTTTGCTCCTCTGCTGCCTAATAACCATCTTGCTGCTACCCTAATTTAACAGCTGCATCATCCACATCTCATTTAAAAAAATATATATTTTTTCTTTTAATTTTCCCCCCCAATATTTAATTGTTTTTATTTTGTTTGAGTGTGTGTGGAGAGATGATTAGATTAGGTTGTGGATTAAGGGGCATTATGTTTGTAATACAGCTTGCTGTGTTTCTACAGTGTATATTGCAAGGCATTTGCCAGCAGCAGAGGAATCAGCATGGTCCCAGTGCCCTGTTCAGACAGAGGGTCCAGTGGCAGAACAATGGGAGGGTGTTCAGCTTGCTGAGCCACGGCTCTGAGTACCAGCCTGCCAGGAGAAGGGCCCCTGTATCCAGGGCACCAGACAGCCCACTGCTCATTCTCAGCAGCAGAAACAGCACCAGCATCTCTACCGGAGAGAGACCACCCCAGCCCAGACCTCAGCCCTCGCAGGATGGAGACTTCCAGCAAAGGGCTACCCAACAGCAGACAAGGGGTTCCTCTGGCTCTCGCTTCTGGTTCCAGGCAGCAGGGAGAGCGAGCAGCCCAGTTGATGCTGCTGGGAGACAAAGGAGCCGAGGAGAAGGTGGCCAGACCGCTGACTCCCATCAAGCTCAGGCAGTCAATGGCACAGGAGGCGCCAGAGCCAGGCTGGATGTAATGCAGGGAGACGATCCGTACAACCCATACAAGTACGGGGATGACAATCCTTACTACAACTACTATGACACGTACGAGAGATCCAGGCAGACTGAGAGGGGGAGACCTGGCTATGGCACTCGCTACTTCCAAAATGGTAAGAATTAAGGAACTAGGAATAGATATTCATGTTTTTGTCAAATCGTTAGCCAGATCCTTTTAAAGTACGCACATATTTTTAGATCTCGTGTGAGAATAGACCTGCATTCCATTTGCAGTTAAATCGAGAGACTTTCTGAAGTTCCTTTAGGGGGAAACATTGTTTCAAGTGTTTTGAATGAGCTCCCTGCACACTGCAAGGGGAGGGATGTTAGAACAAAGCTGGATCAAATTATATTGATCCTTCCACTGCAAGTGTTTTTTAAAACCCTGAAAATTCCCTTTATTATACATTATATTGTAGTTAGAAAAAACTCAATCTTCCTTTAATTACCGTATCTCTGTGAAAGAATGAAGTTAATTAAACACCCTAACTCTTATTCTATTTATATTTAATGCATCCAATATGATCATGTCTTTTAGTCTATTATTGTATAACAGGAGTAGCAAAAAAAAAAAAAAAGTTCTTTTTGGCTCTCTGACTCTTTTAGAACTGCTATTCCAATGGTGCCTCATGGGAATTGTAGTCATTCAGCAGCTGGGAATCTGTCTTTTGACCACCCCTGTTCTCTAGTACTGTACACGGATATGTTGCTAAACAGGCTGTTAAAACCCATTAAACCCTATATGTTGCTATGTGTGTTCCCTGGTGTTCACACTGATTGTATGAATCTCATTGTAACGTGGCAAGCTGCAACACCGCTCTCAATGTTTAGCTGCTCCATAAGGCATTGTCATGCTGTCACATAGAAATACACAAGATGCTTTCTATATACAGTTACTTTTTTAAGGTTTACTTTCATTCCTTCCAAACATTACAAAGCTGAAAATATTCCACTTTAAAGCAGAAAAGAATTTAATTAATACAATTATATATATATACAAATTATTTTATTGCATCGATTTGTTTTGTTGTATGGGTTTTGGATATGTCTGCAAATAAAAAGAAAATCATTGTCAGTTTACATAGTGTTTAGATATACATAGTGTTTAGATATACTTAGTGTTAAGATATACATACACAGGGTTTAGATATACATAGGGTTTAGATATGCATACATAGGGTTTAGATATACTTAGTGTTTAGATATACATAGTGTTTAGATATACTTAGTGTTTAGATATACATCCATAGTGTTTAGATATACATAGTGTTTAGATATACATCCATAGTGTTTAGATATACTTAGTGTTAAGATATACATACACAGGGTTTAGATATACTTAGTGTTTAGATATACTTAGTGTTTAGATATACTTAGTGTTTAGATATACATGCATAGTGTTTAGATATACTTAGTGTTTAGATAAGCATGCATAGGGTTTAGATATACATAGTGTTTAGATATACATACATAGGGTTTAGATATACATAGTGTTCAGATATACTTAGTGTTTAGATATACTTAGTGTTTAGATATACATACATAGGGTTTAGATATACATAGCGTTCAGATATACATAGTGTTCAGATATACTTAGTGTTTAGATATACTTAGTGTTTAGATATACATACATAGGGTTTAGATATACATAGTGTTTAGATATACATACATATACTTAGTGTTAAGATATACATACACAGGGTTTAGATATACATAGGGTTTAGATATGCATACATAGGGTTTAGATATACTTAGTGTTTAGATATACATAGTGTTTAGATATACTTAGTGTTTAGATATACATCCATAGTGTTTAGATATACATAGTGTTTAGATATACATCCATAGTGTTTAGATATACTTAGTGTTAAGATATACATACACAGGGTTTAGATATACATAGGGTTTAGATATACTTAGTGTTTAGATATACTTAGTGTTTAGATATACATGCATAGTGTTTAGATATACTTAGTGTTTAGATAAGCATGCATAGGGTTTAGATATACTTAGTGTTTAGATATGCATACATAGGGTTTAGATATACATATAGCATACATCAGATATACATAGTGTTCAGATATACTTAGTGTTTAGATATACTTAGTGTTTAGATATACATACATAGGGTTTAGATATACATAGCGTTCAGATATACATAGTGTTCAGATATACTTAGTGTTTAGATATACTTAGTGTTTAGATATACATACATAGGGTTTAGATATACATAGCGTTCAGATATACATAGTGTTCAGATATACTTAGTGTTTAGATATACTTAGTGTTTAGATATACATACATAGGGTTTAGATATACATAGCGTTCAGATATACATAGTGTTCAGATATACTTAGTGTTTAGATATACTTAGTGTTTAGATATACATACATAGGGTTTAGATATACATAGCGTTCAGATATACTTAGTGTTTAGATATATATACATAGGGTTTAGATATACATAGTGTTTAGATATACTTAGTGTTTAGATATACATGCATAGTGTTTAGATATACTTAGTGTTTAGATAAGCATACATAGGGTTTAGATATACTTAGTGTTTAGATATGCATACATAGGGTTTAGATATACTTAGTGTTTAGATATACATGCATAGTGTTTAGATATACTTAGTGTTTAGATATGCATACAAAGGGTTTAGATATACTTAGTGTTTAGATATACTTAGTGTTTAGATATACATGCTTAGTGTTTAGATATACATACATAGTTTTTAGATATACTTAGTGTTTAGATATACATAGGGTTTAGATATACTTAGTGTTTAGATATACATAGGGTTTAGATATACTTAGTGCTTATATATACTTAGTGTTTAGATATACATACATAGGGTTTAGATTTACTTAGTGTTTAGATATACTTAGTCTTTAGATATACATAGGATTTAGATATACTTAGTGTTTAGATATACTTAGTGTTTAGATATACATACATAGGGTTTAGATTTACTTAGTGTTTAGATATACTTAGTCTTTAGATATACATAGTGTTCAGATATACTTAGTGTTTAGATATACTTAGTGTTTAGATATACATACATAGGGTTTAGATATACTTAGTGTTTAGATATAGGATTTAGATATACTTAGTGTTTAGATATACATAAGGTTTAGATTTACATAGTGTTTCAATATGTCCTAGTGAAGATACGTTTCTTATAAAACTCATGAGATTGCATAAACAATGATCACTAGAGAAATGTTATTTTGGGGTGCCATGCAAGTTCAGACATTTGATAAAAAATAAGGATTTGCAGTGAAACGGAATCCGTTTACTAGTCACAGAGACATTTTTAGTAAATCTACTGTAAGACACATTACAAGCCTGAATAAGTATATATTGCATGTGTTGGCATTACTACTACCTACACAGTTGGGAAAGTGAATGCAAGGAATGCGTGTGGGATTCACTTTCCAAAAAAGTATAGTTTATATATTCTGTCTTACAATACAAACCATATGGGAACTATATTATTCACATTGAAATGAAATGAATCTATTAGTGTATAGGTGAATTTTACATTTTAGCCCAAACTATAAATAATCTCTAGCTCAGATAATTCTCCAGGTTGTCTATATTGACTAACAATGGGAAATACCATTTTTATCTCTCCACAGTGTAGTGAATACAGGGAGCATACACTGATAATTTCACTGATACACTGATAATTTCTCTTTAGTTTCAAGTAAGTCCCCAGGCTGTGTTTCCGATACCAGATCCAGTGCCCTCACGAGTTTAAAATTAAGGAGTTTCTAAAGTCTGACCAAAAATGGTCAGATTTGGACCACTGGGGGGCATAATCGTTGATCTGGTAACTAAAGTGCACTGGATTTGATTTTCTTACACAAAGGTATAGTCTTTCAGTGAATGAGAGAAATAATTAGATTGACACTGCCAGGAACAGAAACTGCAACCTAGAGGTTTTAATAAGTACTGCAATAGATGGATTAACCAGATCAACTCTCATTATTGGACCTTGAATGTGTAAATCATTCCACTTGTCTGTCCTGGACTGCCATGTGGTCAGTTGGAAAGGACTCACTTGTTATACACAGCCTGGTAATATATTCATTTATATGAACATGCTGGGCTGTTATATTTAATTAAAAAGTCTAAATTGTCATGCAAATAGATATATTAGAATAATTAGCAGAACTGGGGCATTGCTTGAAAAAGACTTGCAATCTGTTCAATCAGTGCATTTACACATTTTTACCAACAATCCTCATATCTAAGAGGCATTCACTCTAGTCTTGTAGTTAGGAGCTGTTTAAATCTTAACATAGTTATACCCTGTGTGTGCCAGTGTTTGGTTTCCTATACTGAATTAGAAGTGACATTTGAGAGTTTTATTGGTGTACATCAATGTGTAGGGTTGATATCTGGGCCTTTAACTCAACCTATGTGTTATTTTTATGGGCATGGTAACTTGCTGGTGGTGCCCATACTTCATCTGTTGTCTGGATATAATTATAAAAAGCAAGACCAGTGATCTGGATAATCAGTGCTTTGAGCACACCTAATATCACCATGAAACATACATACAAGGATTTACTGGGAACAGTGGAGATGTTACAAGAAAATTGCAAATCTAGTCCAGAAAAAATCCAGCTCAACTGTTCAGGTGGGACAGAATAGATACTTGTAATGATGAAGTATAAATTCTGTCTTAATCTTTCAGATGAAGAGAACGTGTAACCCTATTGGGAACTAATCATAATATATAAGTCAGTAAGGATTTCTATTCACATAAGGGATAGAAAAGTATTAGTCTACCATGGGGGTGGGGAACCTTTGGCCCTCCAGATGTTTTGGACTACATCTTCCATAACGCTCTTACAGCCATAATGCTGGCAAAGATTCAAGGGAGATGTAGTCCAAAACATCTGGAGGGCCGAAGGTTTCCCACCCCTGATCTACCAGATAGGCATAGTACTGACAATATATGAACAAATGAAATAAAATAAAAAACACTTTATTAGATATAAAAGAATTAAAAAAACAAAAAAAAAACCCTGTGTCCCTAGTTAAAACAAACAATCGATAATAGATGTGCTCCACAACAAAAGTGCTAATAGTGTATCTGTGCAGGAGTTAGATTCTGTCCACAGGCATATTCCATATAATGATGGTTGAAACTTTGGGCCTGTTACCAAACTGGCCATAGAAGCCGATCATGCAGTCAGGTAATGATGGCTTTCAGTGGTGCCAAAGACAAAATAGTATAAAAATATTTAGATTATTAATGAAATAATATAATAATTCAATAATAACTATTCACTGCTGCGGAATATGTTCTTATACTAGCACACAACTGTACTATATACATCACAATAGAGTTCATAATGATTATAATTTCATGTTGGTATCTGACACTACATTTAATCTCTTCATGCATGGATTCCAGGTGAACGAAATTATATTAAACTCCAGAAAACCTTTTTCTCCCACTATTTAGATATATTGTACCATTCATGCTGCAACCTTGCTTTAGAAGAATTCCAATAATTGCATATTTTTTTTTACTTAAAGGATATCATCAAAATCCCATTTAACATGGCAAGGTGGGACACAGTTGTGGCTAATTTAGTTTAAAGTTGGTAGGGCACTAGCCCCTTACTTTTAGGGCTCTGCCAAATTATCCTCATGTACTCAACTCCTGACCCAATGAGACATCATGCCCTGTTCAAAAACATAAACATGGGGAAAAAAAGAAGATCCCCCAGCACAATCCTTATTCAGAACAAGTGTTCCTTTATTGAGGTGCAAAATAAAATGGGTGGTGTGTTGCCCCCTAAGGGACTTTATTAAGGCTCTTAGGGACAGAAATGTCTCCCATTTTATTTGGCACCTCAATAAAGGAACAACTGTTTTGAATAAGGCCTGTACTGGGGGATCTTCTCATTTTCCTTTATTGAATTGACTGTTGGCAGAGCCATGGTCAATGCACCCTGGGGCTTATTTGGGTCCTCGTTCCTTGTTATACAAAACCCTAAACATAACAGCAACTGCATTTTAGCAGTATCTCCAGCATTAACAAAGGGGAGGATGGGAACTGCAGTTTTTTTTTTTTTTTAACATACAGTTATCATTGGTCCTTACAACAACAGTAGTCATACCAGACCTCCACTGTACTGAGACAAATTTCCATTTAGTTTTTTCTGATTTAAAAGTGTTCAATGTGCCATGATGGAATTGAGTAATGAAAGCTGTAGTTAGTCTAATAGAATTTTAATTAACATAATAAATGCAGCTATAGTTTGAAGAAATGTAACAACAGCAGGCTTTCCTCCAAACCTGTTCTTTTAAAATGTGACCACAGGGCTTCTGAGTTCTAAAGGTTGTGCTGTATAAATTGTTATGGGTGGCAAATAGGATTTGTGGTTTACTCATGGTACACTTTGGTGTTCTTCCCCACCACTTGGATGTTGTTTGCCAGCCTACTTCTGATTCTAAACATTTGTGATAATGTGATTAGCCATACTTACAGATAAAGGAAAAGAGATTGCTTATACAGTCAGAGCAAAGAAACAGAGAAGGGCACATATGTACTTTCAAGATACTGCGAGTCTTACTCGGTAAATAATAAATAAAAATTTTCTTCCCTCAACTGCTGCTTGGCGGTTATGATGTGTGCAAACTGTGTAAGCTATCCTGCTCACTGCATGGGCCTGCATGGTCCTTCTGTAAGTTAGTTCTGGCCCACAGTGTTAAGTATGATACTCTCTGTAGCTCCTACATGTGGCAGCCATCAAGCTTTGCCTCACAGTATCGTGAGGTGATTACAGAGCAAGACAAAATTGTGGCTGGTAGGCATTTAACATGGTGGCTCCACCAGATAGCCTGATAATGTTGTGGTGGATGTCCAGGTTGGTCGAATGTGAAATACACCTGGACATATTTATTATACTACTCTGACCCTGTCTATAAAAATGATGCTGAGCTCAGACTTACAATATACTAAGTGGTAGCAGACATTAACTTTGTAAGAAGTTTAGATTATTGTGTTTTGACTGTCTCGTGATTGGACAGAGGTCTGCTGAGCTGGACTAGTAAGGGCTTACAATGAGGTACAGAAACGGGGATAAACCAGGGGTGGTCTGAGAAGACTACTTCACTTTTAATACTAACACTTAAAACAACGACCCTTCGATAAGGGCAAAGTATCAGGTATAATGTCAGTATACATAGGAATGGTTAGAGGATTAATCTGCCTATAACGCGTACTGCAGGGCTGTGTGCACTGTTGAGGGTCATAATGAAACACTTTTTTTAAATTATAGAAGAAAAAAAAGATAAAGACACTAAACAGTCCTAAAGTGTCAAATATTGACAACCCATCAAAAATGAAAAATAAAAGAATTAGGTCATAAAAATGGAAACAAAGAAAACTATACATCAGATTGTCTTTGAGGGAACCTAACACTAAGACTAGCTGGTACTAAAAAGTTAAGTTCTGAAAAAGCTGTCAGATGTGCATTACCCAGTGAAACAAACATTTTAAAAGCCAGTGCCATAATTAAGGTCAGAGAAAAATACAAAAGTAAACAGTTAGTTTTATAAGCTGATTTATTCCTTAGCATTCCTATGTGCACTAACATTATACCCAATACTCTTTTATGGACTACCTTTGTCCCTTTAAAAGGTTAGTTCATAAAAGTGGTCATGGGCATTTATTTTTTATTATTATCCCTGAGGTTAGCACTTATATCTCCTACTTTCTGTTTCTTGTTTTTTTTTTATTTCCAGCTCGTTTTCCTTGTTCAAGATCGTTTATGTACTATGCCTTACCAGACGGTAATATACCTTTATAGAAAAAAACTGATGTAACCTCCGGTTAATAATAAAATATCATGATAGGTCAATTCTAGTATTTACAACCATAACTGTAGTATTGGACAGTATCATGTTTATTTTTATTATAAAGTATAAATGGCTGACTAGAATGATCTAATTATTTTTCTGTGAGTATCAAGTAAAACTCTCAGGGGAATTCTCCTTGTATTTTTGGTCATGTTTTGATTTCCAAATGCTTCTTTTTACAATTGGGATAATCTGGAATGGAAACAAAATGCCCACCAAAGAACACAGAACTTCTTCAATTTCACTGGGTTGAAATGCTGGTGCAGTAGGACACTAAATAATTATATCTAAACAGTTTCTATCCTTAAATCGAACAGTCTTAGGAAATGACTTGGATAAAGTGGCCGTTTATGTGATATGTTATTGAAAATGGTTAATGCACGATTAAAGTTTTATTCAATTACCCAAATCTTGTTCGCCGTTGATGGTGGAATTAAAATCTTAGTTTACAATAAGCAGTGGCGTCACAAGGGAGGCGCATCACGGAGGGATGAGTGGTGACACCCAGGGCCGGCGCTTCCTATAGGCAACTTAGGCAGTTGCCTAGGGCACACCAGCCAAGGGGGCAAGGTTTGAGTGAACCGGCAGGAGGGAGGCATACAGCTCTCCCTTCTGCCAGTCACTCAGTGTAGCATGGCCGGGTGGCAGACCGCGATACAGGAGCATCTGTTTCCTGTACATGAGCGGACTGACAGGAAGTACTCACTGTGAGAGCACTTCCTGTCAGTCCGGCCGAGTACAGGAAACAGAAGCTCCAATACCTCAGTCCGCTGCCCGCACCGCCGGGCCACGCTACAAAGATAGGTAGGAGCCACAAGGGAGGCCACTAAGAGGGGAGGAGGAGGAGGAGGAGGAGGAGGAGAGAAGGACAGGAGGAGAGACCTCTAAGAGACCTCTAGGGGACAGGAGGGCAGACCTCTAAGGGACAGGAGGGGAGACAAGGAGGCCCCTAAGGGACAGGAGGAGGAGAGGAGATGAGACCACTAAGGGACGGGTGGAGTGAGAGAGATCATTAAGGGATGGGGAGAGTAAGATAAACATAGAAGCTGAGGAAGGGGTGAAAGAGAAGCAGAGGGGCTCAGGAGAGAGACACACAGAGTCACTTGTGAGGGAGACACACAGTGGAGCCTGGGGGGAAAAGAGAAACGCAAAGGAGCTGGGAAGCAGGCCCGGACTGGCCATCGGGCATACCGGGCAAATGCCCTGTGGGCCGCGATGGCCGTGGGGCCGAGGCCGGCAGGGGATCTCCCCGGCTGGCCCCTGCAGGGCCAGCGCTATCCGAGCGCCGGCCCTGCTGTGTGCCTCCGTGGGCCGGTGGGGAGATCAAAGATCTCCCTCACCGGCCCAGAGGCAGGGAGATGCGGCCGCCGGCTGGGTGAGGGAGGGAGGGAGGACCCGGCGGAGCTCTAACAAGCAGCTCCGCCGGGTCCTCTCGCGGGATTCTGAGCGTTGCCGCGGCAACGCTCAGATCTCGCGAGAGTGAACTCTAACCTGCAGGTTAGAGTTCACTCTCACCACTGGACCACCAGGGAAGGATGGCAGAACGGCTCCCCTCCCTCCATGGCAGAACAGCACGGCTCCCCCCCCCTCCCAGGATAAAGGTAAGAAGTGAGGGGGGGGAAATAATTTTTTTTTTTTTTTAGTAAAAAAAATATATGTCAATTTAAATAAAAAATACATTCACTCACACACAGCCCAGACACACCCAGACACAGCACCCCCAGACACACACAGCACCTCCAGACACACACATCACCCCCAGACACACACAGCACCCCCAGACACAGCCCCCAGACACAGCCCCCAGACACACACAGCGCCCCAGACACACACAGCGCACCCCCAGACACACAGCGCACCCTCAGACACACAGCGCACCCTCAGACACACAGCGCACCCCCAGACACACACAGCGCACCCAGACACACAGCACCCCCCAGGCACAGCACCCCCCAAACACACACAGCACCCTCACTCACACACACAGCACACTCCCACACATATACAGCACACACATATATATATAAAATAACCCTCAGTGAGTTAACAAAGAAAATTAGAAACCTAGAATGTGACAGCAGATAAAAACACCCTCACACACAGCACCCCTCTTACATACACACACTGCACCCCTCACACATACAATAAGTCCAAATAAATATATATATATATATATATATAAACATACACACACACACCCACACACACACCCACACACACTACAGCACCCCTCACACTGCACCACTACACACATTACGCTCCAGATACACACTAGATCCCTTACCCTATATGCACTCTTAATCCTCTACACACACACACACACACACACACACACTGGGTCCTTTGCACAGTAGATCTCCTACACACACACACTACATTCCTTGTCAGCAAACACATACAACATTCTCTAAACACACCCTCTCTGCAACCCCTACACACACTACGTCACCTATACACACACACTTCAGCCCGTATGCACACACTCGCTGCATCCCCTATAAAACTATGCCCCCTATACACACACTCTCTACAGCCCCTAGCCACACATATTACACCACAAACACAAATTAAATTGACCTATTTATACAATACCACACCACACTCTACACACACGCAATCCCACAAGCAGGCTCCAAACATATGCACCATGCACTTTCCTGGCCCGTTTGTCCTCTGGTATCCCACTTGTGGAGACACCAGAGACAATTTAAAAGCAAACACAGCGCAAGCATGTTATTAAATTTGCTTGCGCTGCGCAGAACAAATTCAGGGCCTTTTTCTAATGCCAGAGCTTTTCAGCGGGGCTCTGCGCATTGAACCAACATGCTCACTTTGAGAGGGGGCGTGTTGTCATGTTGTCATTAGTGATGACAAAACACACACTCTCTGGCCCCGCCCCCTTCTTAGGGGGCCGCTCTGATTGAAAAATGCCCGGGACTAATTTTTTTCCCAGTCCGGCCCTGCTGGGAAGAGTAAGACACAAAGGGGTTGGGAGGATTTAGGAGACATACAAAGAGGGGGGGTAAGAGACAAACAAGGAGCTTGTAAGAGATAAACTAAAGGGGGTGTAAGACACAAAACTTAAAGAAAAAAATATACAAAAAAATCATATTAACAAAAAATTATATTAATAAAATAAATATAGCCCCTATCCTACCCCACATACCCTCTCTTTCACACTACACATACACAATGCATCCTTACACATACACAGAAACACACAATGCATCCCTACTCACACACAGACACACCGAGACATACAATGCATCCCTTACACACACACACACACGCAATGCATTCCTTACACACAAACACACACTGAATCCCCTATACACACACACACACACACACACACTACATCCCTTACACAAATTGGTATCCCTATACACTACATTCCATAAGAACACACATACACATTACATCCTCTACAGTAACACACAACACATCCCCTACACACATACACTCCACTCCCTGTGAGCGAACTCATGTGTGGGCCATGTAGGTGGACTTATTGGCAGGCCTTGTAGGCATACTCACGGTCAGGCCCTGGCGACCCAGACATTGAGTTGTGTAAGGGGCCAAAGAAAATTGAGCTGCTTCCTGTTCATTGATTTTTGTGAACACTATTATAAACAGCCTCCAGAGAGCGTGTTCTACACTAGACCAGTGGAACCACTGCCCATCATCATCCTCTTGTCCTCATCTGGTGGTAATAAGGCAATCCAGTATATTATTAGTGGCACCAATCTCTAATTTACCTCACTTTAAAGGGACACTGTAGTCACCAGAACCACTACAGCTTACACATTATTAAGGGGGTTGGGGTAAAACCGTGAGTTACTGCACCTGGTGACACCAACCCTAGTGATGCCACTGACAAGAAGCCATTTTAAAAAATTCCTTTCTGTCCAGTTCTCTTTAGTCTTGGAATATCCATTTAGTATTCTGAATAACTGTATCTAAATTAATTAAAAACATACATTATATATATATATATATATATATATATATATATATGTATATATATATATATATATATATATATAAACAAAAACAGATGTTTTCTTCAAAGTTTACATTATTAGAAACATGTACAACGTTCTGGGAACACTCACTCCCTTTTTGGTAACTGTGAGTCTGAGAACATTTTCACTCTATTTGTAGATAAATCATGGTTGGTTGCCAGAAGTAAACTGCACAAATAACTGTCTAGGCTTTTCCTAGAATTCTCCACATTTTTGCAGACTTAACATGTCTGGGATGCAAAGCTCATAGTAAGTTTAATTTGTAATATCAGATAAGCTGGGCAGATACTTAAGCAAATATGGTGAAAAAAGTTAGTCTTGTGGGTGCAGCTTTATGATGTGAAAGTTCAATCATACAGTGGAAGAACTTTGAAAAGTACAGTGCATTCAAATGCATGCCAACAAGCATTACTTTTAAACAAGTACATGTTAGTTTTACAGTAGTTATAGGTATTTTAAAGAGTAGCTTTAGTAATACACAATATTACAATTCATGTTAATACCTTAAAGGGAAACAATGTTCTTAAAGGGATCCTATAGTGCCAGGAAAACAAACCTGTTTTCCTGGCACTATAGGCTCTTAGAGTGCCCCCCTCCCTCGGCGCTGAAGGGGTTTAAACTCCTTCAGCCACTTACCTTAATCCAGCGCGGGGCTCCCTCAATGCTGGTGACCTCCTCTCCACGCCGACGTCAGCTCTTGAGTGGAGCCAAATGCACATGTGCGGCCAGAGGCGGGTGCGCATTCAAACCCGCCCATAGGAAACCATTACTCAATGCTTTCCTATGGGGATCTTTTTTTAAGCTACAAATTGCGATTTACTCCGTGTAAATTGCGGAAGCAGCTCTAGTGGCTGTCAGGGAGACCGCTACTAGAGGCTGGATCAACCCTTCAGTGTAGACATAGCAGTTTCTCTGAAACTGCTATGTTTTTAGCTGCAGGGTTAAAACTAAGGGGACCTGGCACCTAGACCACCTAATTGAGCTGAAGTGGTCTGGGTGCCTATTGTGGTCCTTTAATATTATATTTACCTATCCACTTTATTTAACAAATATGTGTTTGCGCGGAGTGAAATATTAAATGAAATATGAAATTTCACACCTCTTTATAGAGAAATTGGGTGCCTCCATCATGGTTTTCTGTTAATCGTTGTTGGAAACATCTTCCTTTTCACCTGGAGGACAGCACTGAGAAAGTATACAGAGAAGATGAGAAATAAAACAATGTATGTAATGTATGCTGTGGATGTGTCAGGACTGAAAAAGATTGTGATGTAAATTGCTAAATCTTTAATATAAATGTATAGAAAATAGAGCTTTGCATTAAAAAAATGTAAACACAGGTTATAAGTAACTTACAATGTCTTATTACATGGTGTAATTCCCTAACTGTTCTCCGTTCAGTAAAATAGTCTATTCTTCGCTTCCATAGCATTCTGTTCTGTAAAGGATCCTGTGTACAAATGGAATGATGACCAGTAAAGGCAACACAGAGCTGCCTGTGATAAATAAGCAGGACATTCCCTGTTACTGTAAGGAACCAGATTGTTGTGATGGTAAAGTGTAACATGTGCCCCCTAAAGGGTTATTCTAAGCAACATAACCACTAGGAAGATATGAATAAGATATTCATGGAATTGAATTGTTTGAAGACACACCACTAGGAGGCACTAAATATATAAAGAGACGTGTAAAGAAGAAAATGGGCAATTAAAAATCAGCACACAAACTTTTATGAATTAAAAAAATAAGAAATAAAAACAATATAGAAATCCACAAAATAATTGCAATTTAAAGTTTGCTAAAGAGATATTTAAACACCAAAACCTATGCAGAAAGTATAAACACTAAAATGAATAAAAATAAAAGCTAGTAAACTGTAAAAAAATAAATAAATAAATATATATATATATATAAACTTATATAAACTTTAAAAAAGACAACTTAATTATGATACAAGAAAAAAAGCATACATTAGATGGTCCAATGATGAACACTGTCATAGGAAAACATGTATATTATGTTCTTGAATGCAAAATAACATATTTAATGAAATGAAGAAATTCTCTGCACTTGCCTTATTGTATTTGTTACATAAAATACTGTATATAACACAATTGCAGTAAAAATGTGTTTTAAACAGAAATATGTTCAGAATATGTTAGTTCCTTAACTATCGGGATAATCAGTAACAAAACCATAATAATCCAATGCTAATGAACAACCTTAAAAACTTGACTACAAAAGTCCCTCATAGATTTATAATGAGCTACAAATGTTCTTCTTATCATCTAGGTTGAATGTTATTCAATTAATTCATAGCCATGTACTTGTTATATATATATATATATATATATATATATATATTTATATATATATATATATATATATATACACACGTAAAGGGTTATTCCAAGTACCATGACCACTTGTTAGCTCAGAGATGTATAACTGTGCTTAAAGGATTGAAAGGTTAATTACACATCCTTACACACTTAAAGGGTTACTCTAAGCACCATAGCCGCATTCACTGATCATTGACCATATATGTAGCATTTCAGTTTCAAATGCTGCACATAAAGATTTAAAGCACTGAGCTGCTGAAACTGTAACTCCACCCCTGGTATTGTTCTGGGCTGGCTACAGTCAATTCTGTGCATATTTGGCATATGTCATCAGCATGCATAGTATTCTGGTAATAGACAGCCAATGGTGTGAATAACCTAAGAGAAATTGGATAAGTAGAGGTCAGAAATGGTGGTTACAGATCCACCTATATAGGGCTTAACCCAAAATAGAAAATACAGAAATCAAGATATATTAGGAGTATCTAAGACAAGAGACTCCAAACTGATTTTAGATAAAGCAGTAAATAAAGAAATATTCTATAATAAATAAATTCCCAAATTAACACTGAGTATCAATACATAACGTAAGCCTCTAGCCCTGATAATAATTAGGGATGCTGCAGAAAATTGAAAATGCACAAATGCTTTATTAAATTACAAAAAAACAAAGCAGCAAAATTCCTAAATAAGGGCAGGAGTGTCTTACTGATTAAATCTACAAATAGACTAAGGAGGGATATACTAGCCATATGAATAAAATAAACTGCAGGTAGATATTAAAGGAAGGGGGTCCACCAGGAATAAATATGTACTAAAGTTGTAACAATAATAATAAAAGACAAATCAAGGACCCTATTAGGACTATATAATAGCCCTGCAGTTGATAGTCAACAGATTCCAATAGGAAATACTGCCTGATACAAAGGCTAAACTGCAACTGCTAGTTAGGCAAATGCTCAATAGCTGAGTCTGATCTAAAATGATTTTAACTCATCTAAAAGGAATGGAAAGTAACACAGACGATTGTACGTAGGCTTAGTCTGATGCTGCAAAGATCTAATAAGACATCTAGAAGTAAATAATAAATAAAAAAAGGAGCGGAGGAAAGATAAATTTCTATAATGTCCCTATTGCTCCTAAAAATAAACGCCTTCGAGGGCGTTCTAATCTGTCCCTGGCTAGTAGAGCAGATAGCCGATAGAGTATAGCTGTAGGTCCCCCCCCCATATAGAATAGGATAATCAGTGCTAACAAAACATTAAACAAATAATAAGGTGGTTCAAAAACCTAGTGCCACCATAAGTGAAAGAAAGTGAAAGCTAAGCTAGAGCCCGACGCGCGTTTCGGTGCTTCAAATGGTGTGAATAATACTGATTGTGTGATAAAAAAAATAGTCGGCCCTCATGTAACTAAAATGTTTTAAAATGCTCTAAGTTAGGGTTTCTATTCTCAACCCGGGGAGATATTTCTTTAATCCTAAACCAGTCCAAACTTGATTTAGTCAGCCAAACCCTGCCTACTGAGAGTTAGCTGTGACAACAGGTAGCTTTATTACTGTTATACAGCCTGGGTTACAATGCACTCGGGTAGCTGCACAAATTGCCAGGGACCCTCACCTGACTCAGGGTGAACATGTATGGACCGGACATTATACTGGAGGACTATGGTACTTCAGGCCTCCCTCCGCCCCCTGCAACGATGCCAGTTCTTTCATACTTAATATTAATACATGGATACTTGTATGAAGATATTATACATTTAAGATATTTTGAGCAGACTTGGTAATAAACTTTATCTTTGAGCTCTCAAATTAAAAGGCTTTGGCAGATAAGTAGTCCTTCTCATGCTAAATAAACAACAATCAAATATTGCTTCAGTAGATTACCAGTTGCGTAGTTTAAGCATGGATGAATACATATGTGTCATGTATTGACCCTCTAGGGATACATTTCACTAAAATGTTGTGTTGCTTTATCTTGCTGATTAGCATTTACCCTGTGTTATTGTCCAGCTGTTAAAATCCAGAATTATTCAATACTGGAGTTGCAGCTATATGCCAGAGTTGCTATTAATTATGTAAACTCATTTGTTATGTATATAACAATAAAACAATGGTCTCCAAGTCTCATAAGGCTCACTGAAATGCTTACTGTTTCATGGATAATACGGTCCTCCGCTACGTAGGATTTATGAAGTACCCTACTCCAGGGAGGTAGAGTAATGTCACTATCGGGGGAGGGATGGGGAAGGGGGTCAGGCTGCAGGAGAACTTTGAATTAGTGATGTAACTGGAGTCAATTTTAGCTATTTTAAAAAAAATATATATTTTTGGGTAAGGGGGAGGACCCGTGGAGTAACCCCTTGATTTTGTAAATAATTTATGCCATATTATTTCCAATGTTTATACAATTTTTGAACGTTTTTCTTAATCCATTTGTCTTAATACATTTATTTAATAGAATACTTATAGACTGCCATTTTTTCTGTAAATATAAATTCTCTATTTGGATTAGACATTAATATGACATTAATAAATAATAAACATTAATAAATATGTTGCTACTGTGTGTTTACATTATAATTATTATATTATGAGATTGGTATACATGACAGTTCATAGTAAAGTACTCTATAATAAATTCCTCTGGTATATCTAAAGCACTGTTTTTAAATATATAAATTTTTGTTGCATTTTCTTATTTCTCAATTTAAGGTCTTCCAGATTTGGTTCCAGACCCTTACTATATCCAGGCATCTATCTATGTCCAAAAAATGTCAATGTACAGTCTGCGGTGCGCTGCTGAAGAAAACTGTCTGGCAAGGTCAGTATCAACAGACGTAGAAAAAAACATTTTGCTATTCTTTTACCGTTTATGATCAGCCACGCCCTTTCTGCTACAGTTTTAGTAGATTCTTTTTTTTTTTTTTTTACAAGATGATGCAAATCCATGATATGCGAATGGTAGAAACAATACAGACTTATTGATTAGAGTTTAAATGTAGTCTGGATCAGCAAAATCCATTTAAAATAACCAAGTTTTAACTGAATTTACATTACCATATATTCTCATATCTACTAAAGGTAAATCTGGTTGAAATTCATGTTATTTCAATCGCAAGGGCACATCTCATTTGGTGCCATCCAGTGTCTGATTTAAAATTAGTGATCCTGTATAAAATGTATTTTACCAAATTAAAAACAGGACTCACTGTGAATCAATCCAGGATCTACATTGCAGTATTTGAGACACAAGTAGGAGGCAGAATGTTAAAGAGGCGCAAGTATGGAACAAAAGGGGGATTAAGATAAAAGTTTTATTGTCTATTAGCTTTGGATCCCAATGAAATATTTTTGTTAAATACTCCAAATACATGCTCATTTTATCTTACAGTGCATTCACGAGAAGGCATAATATGTTTAGGTTAACCTCCTAATTTTTTTGTGAAAGTCTGTTGAATTTGCTAAAGCTGTATAAAAATGCCTCCTACTAAAACATATTATGGCATGGAATAAAATAGTGTTCGTATTCTCATCTGTTACTATTTTCAGAGTATGGGGTGGAGGAGTGAACCAGCCAGAGATATGTGGTATTTGATTGGTACTGCTCATGTTATCACTTGCAGGTCTAGACCAAAGAAATCATTCTCGACACGTTGATTCAAATCTTCGTATTTCCATGCCCAAGGCATAGTACAAAGATTAACTAATTTAATTACCCCAAGTTATACTGATAAAAGTCACATATCACTCTGTGTGTGCTCAGGAAACAAAGGGATACCAGGAGATTTTAGCAACTGGTTAAATGATCTTTTAATGCATGAGGCAAGTACATATTATTGTTTCATATAATAATGACGTGGAAGTTCAGAAATTAAGGTTATATCTCTCCTGTCTCATGAGAGATGTATTTGTTGGACAACAGGGAGAACAGCCTAGGGAGACATAGAAATCCAAATAAAGGGAAAAAGTTGACAGCAGCATTTTATTGGTTGTTAGCCAACCAATCAGAGCTCTCTGACAGGCAAGTCTCACCTCTCAAGACACCTAGCCTGGTGGAGGCACGGAAGACACCAGTTACAAGTCCCTCTCCCCCATATTTTGCTAGTGGCTGGGCAGCAAAAGCTGCCTAGTCGCTCGATTTCATTATAGTAAGCAGTAATGGCTACCCACTGTAACTCATTTTAATTTTTACACCTTTTTGGTTTGTCCAAATATTTTTTTTCCAAAACGATTTCATGAATGAAATTTGCCCAAACTGAAGTGCCGCATGAATGAAATTCAATTTGTCCAAACTAACATTGAAAAAAAAAAAATTTTAAGAAAATAATATTTTTGCAATGCAGAAGTCTAGTCACATGATTCTGAAAGGAAATTGAAGTTCAATTAAATCATCTAACAGATAGTATACATTTGTTCTTTTTAAAAATGCATTGCTGGCAACCAAATATCTAAATATTTTAGCAACCTGCAATGCTTGTTTCTGCTGGAATCATTGAATATATAAATACAAATGGTAATTATATCCTGATTAAGATGCATATATTGCAGCAACACTTACACATGTATATGGAGGATAATTCTGGTATCATGCGGTTCCCAGCAGAGGAACACTAAGTAGAGCAAATCCTACAAGTGTGCAATGGTGATTACTATAATAAACATGACCCTATCTGTCAATTTCTCTACTCAGTTATTTGTAGTTAGGTATCATGACTTTGCCTTTCATGCTCATAAATTAGTTATTGTTGATTTTACTTTTTGGAAGTTGTATATAGACTAATGAACTTCACAAATTGTCTTTCCTAGTATGATTTGCACATTACCGAGGATGTGGCTCTGTCCTTATACCAGAAATAAAGGCAAACATAATAGCATAATATACCTGCCAACATTAAGGGGAGGAGGTGTTGGGCCAACATGGAATCTTGCCTTTGACACTCATTGCAGTATTGGGGAATACAAATACACAGTGCACTCAAGGACAATCCGAATGCAGTACTCATGGCAGTATTAGCATATCTTCAACTGTCAAGGTATGCAATCAGAGATGCCTGAGTTCACTCTAGAATGGGCACAATTATTCTAGTATAGTTAAGGGCAATCACAAACCCATTTGAAAATGGACAAGTGCTACAAGCTACGAGGACCTTTCGTCTGTGTCTCTAGAAAAAACAAGACCAAATGAAAGGAGGGACCAAAATTTTTACTGCCCTACCACACTCAGAACAGTTGGTAGATGTAGCTTCACCAAGGGCTGGTTGGAAAAATCCATTACCAGGAATAGAAAAAAAGCAGTGTGTGACGATAAGAAACATTTTCACAAAGTTTATACGGACAAAATGGAGAAAGAACAAAATATGAGACCGAAGGCATGAAGCATGAAATATGTAAACATTGTATATGTATAATGAAGACATATTTCTTGCAGTAGGTGGGGAGATTATGGAAGAATGTTTAGCTGTATATTCAGTAAGAGAAAGGAAAACAAGTAGAAAGATATGTCTTTTTGCATATTTATGTGAACTGTAATACACAGCAGATTAATAACTAGCATTAATTTTTTAGTCAAAGAATGTTATCAATTTTGTAAATATTTAAATGATATTAAGATACACATTTTGTCTATAGTTTAACCATGGGATACGTTAATCTCACCCATATGTGGATCTATTCACATTAATAAGAACATGTATTATTTTCAAAGAAAATATTTAATCTTTAAGACTAGTTATCTAGAATACAAAAATAATCCTTTCCAAATGCTTGTTTAAAATAACAAAGGTAAGTGTGAATTCACAGGGTAATTATGAAACTTAAAACACTTTTTCCTCACGCAGTGCAACACATCTCCTTCACATACAGTTGGTCAGGTTATAGATTGTAGCCTGTGGAATGTTGGTGCACTCCTCTTCAGTGGCTGTGCGAAGTTGCTGGATATTGGCAGGACCTGGAACACGCTGTCGTATATGCTGATCCAGAGCATCCCAAAAATGATCAATGTGTGACATGTCCGGTGAGAATGCTGGCCATGCAAGAACTGGGATGTTTTCAGCTTCCAGGAATTGTGTTCAGATCCTTGCAACATGGGGCCGTGGATGAATGGCACAACAATGGGCCTCAGGATCTCATCTAGGTATCTCTGTGCATTCAAAATACCATCAATAAAATGCACCTGTGTTCGTTATCCATAACATACGCCTGCCTATACCATAACCTCACCGCCACCATGGGCGACTCAATCCACAACATTGACATCAGCAAACCGCTCACCCACACAATGCCATAACGCTGTCTGCCATCTGCCCTGTACAGTGAAAACCAGGATTCATCCATGAAGAGAACACCTCTCCAAAGTATCAGACGCAATCAAATGTGAGCATTTACCCACTCAAGTCGGTTACAACGACGAACTGCAGTCTGGTCGAGACCCCGATGAAGATGACAAGCATGCAGATGAGCTTACCTGAGATGGTTTCTGACAGTTTGTGCAGAAATTCTTTGGTTATGCAAACCGATTGTTGCAGCAAATGTCCAGGTGACTGGACTCAGACAATCTTGGAGGTGAAGATGCTGGATATGGAGGTCCTGGGCTGGTGTGGTTACACGCAGTTGTGAGGCCGGTTGGATGTACTGCCAAATTCTCTCAAACGCATTTGGAGACGGTTTATGGTAGAGAAATGAACATTCAATTCATGGGCAACAGCTCTGGTGGATATTCCTGCAGTCAGTATGCCAATTGCACGCTCCCTCAAAAGATTGTGCTGTGTGATAAAATGGCACATTTTAGAGTGGCCTTTTATTGTGGCCAGCCTATGGCACACCTTTGCAATAATCATGCTGTCTAATCAGTATCTTGATATGCCACACCTGTTAGGTGGATTGATTATCTTGGCAAAGGAGAAGTGCTCACTAACACAGATTTAGACAGATTTGTGAACAATATTTGAGAGAAATAGGCCTTTTGTGCACATAGAAAATTCTTAGATCTTTGAGTTCAGCTCATGAAAAATGGGGGCAAAAACAAAAAGTGTTGCGTTTATAATTTTGTTCAGTTTATTTCATAATGTGCATCCTACATCAAAGATGGTTACTTGGCAATGTTTGAAAATGCATTTGTCTAACAGAATGAAGTTAGCAATGTCTGTACAATCAGTGTTAAATCTGGAGAATCAACCTCTGACTCAGTAACAGGTTTACAGCACCATGAGACCACCAGTCCAAAAAAATATTTTTTTTAGTGGAGGCAGGAAACAGAAATTAAGGCACACAGAGCAGGTTCCAAACCAGAAGGGTATTTGGAGGCACATCACAAGGTGAGGATAAAAGGGCAGAATCTATTGGGAGAAGAGAACATCCGCCTCACCCGAGGGAGTGAGTCTAATTTTTAATTTGTCTTCCAGTCAACCGCTATGATTTATTAGCAAAAGCTTTTCCTTTACACTGAGAATCAAGCTAAACTCCCTTTAATGGGGGATTGTGCTCTACAGGTTCAGACATTCAATACAACTTACAGATTATTATACAGAGAGAGACTCTGTTATGAATACTACAAACTTCCAATTTCATCCAAAAAATACTGTGTATGTAAAAAACAAGAATGAAACCTATACTGTATTCAGGAAACCATGAATCCAAAGATATCTTGCAACAAAGGCATTAAATACACTATAATGTCTCCAAAATGGACAGAGAAGTTATTTAGATACTGAATTCGTACACAAAATTGGCAAGGTTAAGTGCTGATATAGGTGGGAAAATAGTTCTCCAAAATTATTAGAACTATACAAAAGAAGTTTTATGTCAGTTTGATAAGAACATTTATGAGTGTATTAAAGGAAACTTTACATTGTGGCCTTGAGTACATTATCACTGAACT